TCTTGATGGTCGCCCCGCGCCGGGGGGGGGGGGGGGGGGGGGGCGTCCCCGAGGCCCCCGTGCCGGTCGCGCCGCTCTCGCCCTCGGCCCCGCCCGCGGTCTGCGCCTCGGCCATCCAGCGCGCGCGCACGCGCGCGTCGCGCGCGGCCAGCGTCGCGCTGGCCTCCTGCAGCGCTGCCGCGGCGGCCGCGGAGCGGTGCGTAGACGGGTCGGCGCCGGTGGGATCGCCGTCGTCGGCGTCCGCCCCGCCGCCGCGGCCACCCGGCCCCGCGCCGCGCTGCTGCTCGGCGGCCCAGGTCGACATGGAGCGCAGCATGGTGACCAGGCAGCGCAGGGCCTCGAAGCGCAGCGCGCGCTCTTCGGCGGGCGCGGGCACGGCGGCCTCCAGCCCCGGCGACCCCTGCGCCAGGCGCACCAGCGCCGCCACGGTGCGCTCGAACAGGTTGGCCCCCTCCAGGTCGCAGTCGTAGTTGACGTACAGGTCCATCAGCGCCTGGCCGTCGGCCGCCAGGCGGGCCAGGCAGGCCAGGGCCACGCCGCGGTAGGCCACGTCCACCGGCGCGGCGCCGCCCACGGAGCCCGTGGTGTGCGCCAGCACGCCCGCGCCCACGGGCTCGATGGGCCGCAGCAGGATCATGGGGTAGAAGACGCCCACCTCGCCCTTGAGCGCGGCACGGAAGCGGGTCAGCAGCGTGAGGAAGATGGAGGCGCAGGGCGGCAGCGCGGCGGGCACCGAGCTCGCGCAGTTCTTGAGCAGGGACAGGCACAGGTACTGCCGGATGGCGCCCATGAAACGCTCGCTGGTGGCAAACACCGGGCCCGAGTTCTCCAGCACGATCTTCAGCAACTCCAACGCCAGCACCTAATTTTGAGTGTGTGTATGAAGGGGTGGCGGGGGTGGTGGGTGTTGTTCGATGAGGAAGGGAAGGGAACTGGATGCATCAGAGGCTCTCTGAAAAGCGTCGATCAGCCGGAAAGCGTGCGCAGGTTCGGGTCGCGCTCACGGAGTCACCCTGCGGACAGCCCGCGTGAGCCTCCCACACACGCATGCACGCCGCTGGGACCCCCCTCTCATCCCCCACAAACACGAACCACACGCTCCGCCGACCTTGCCGCGGGCGGTGGTGGCGTCCGTCCCCCCCCCGCCGTCCACGCTGCGGATGGACAGCTTGCACAGCGCCCTGAACACCAGGTAGGCAGAGCGCTGCAGGGCCAGCGCCACGTTGGGGTCCCCCGCTCCCGGCACGGCGCCGCCCGTGGACGCGGCGCTGGCCTCGCCGGCCAGGGCGAGGGGCGCCAGCGGGCTGGCGGGCTCGCGCCACTGGATGCCGTCGCGGTCGCCCGGCTCGTCCACGGGCTCCTCCACGGCGGGCGGCGCCGGGGGCCCGACGCCGGGGTCGGCTGCCGCGCCGCCCGCGCCCCAGGCGCCCGCGGGGCTGGCCGGCGTGGACCCCGCAGCGGTAGGGCTGCGTGCGCCGCCGCTGCCGGGGCCCGCGGGGGCGGCAAACACGGCGTCCAGGCTCTGCTGCACGCCACGAGCATGTGTCCCAAAGGGGTCGACGGAGGCCACCACGTCGGTCAGGAACTGTTGCACGCTGGCCGACAGCGAGCTGGTCTCGGCGGGGGGCATGCCCAGCACGTCTGCCACCTGGGGAGGCAACAGAGATGGGGGGGGAAAGGCGTGGGGGCTAGGCCCTGGGAACATGGAGCTGTACGTGCAAGGGAAATTCAAGGTGGGAAAGACTCCGGCGAGGGGACCTGCGCCGTCGCGGCCACATGCCAATGCGGTACCAGGTGCCTTGTCAGAGAGTATGGCGCCTGGGCGCACCATCCATGCACTCGCAACCCTGCTCATGTACCCCATTCTGGCACGCTGGAGTCCGCGCGGCCCTCCACACCGACCAGATCCTGCACTCCACAACTCCTCCCCCCCTCCTCCTTCGACTCCTTCCCACCCCTGGACCTCCACCCCCCCCCCAACCTCCAACCCCCAACCACGGGGGCTCACCATGATGGGCGGGGGCACCTCGTGCGCGTCGCCCGACTCCATGCGCGCGAAGCAGACGTTCAGTGCCTGGGTGAGCGTGGCCTTGGCCGTGGCGGCGTTGACCTCGCTGCGGGACAGCAGGTACACGTTGTACCCCGCCCGCACGCAGAGCAGCAGCGCGGCGCCGTGCACCGCCAGCCCCGCGCTGGTCACGGCCGTGAGCAGCGCGGACAGCAGGCGCAGCTCCACGCCCTCGTCACCCAGGTCGTCGCAGCGCACGATCAGGTCCACCGCCAGCGCGGCGGGGGGCAGCGGGCGCCGCACCTCGGACCCCGGCGAGGGGGTGGAGGCGGAGGTCGACGTGCCTGCTGTGGCTCCCTCGCCCCCTGCACCGTGGTCCAAGGGACCCGCGCCCCCCCCCGCGCGGTGGTGCAGCACGGTCACCGTGCCGCGGATGTAGGCATGCGCGATCAGGCGCTGCACCGCGTCCAGCGCCGCCTCGACCAGCACGAAGCGCCGGCTGTCCACGGCCGCCGCCAGCACCTCCAGCAGGCCTGATGTTGGGTGGGGTGGCAAGGGGCGAAGGAGTGAGGAGGGGTGTGGTCCACCGTGGCAAAGAAACTCCCCCCGGTACCAGCTCATGCAGCTGTGGCCCTGCAGCGGGCGCACCATCGTGGCTCATACGTGGACCCACACCCACCCTGCCGGCCTCATCGGGAGCAGCATTGCATCAGCTCCGGGCACTCACTCCCCCGCCCCACCACGCCCCTGTCGCAGCAAGCCTCAGCCAGACTCACGCAGGGCGGCCTCGTCGGTCAGCGCGCCCGGGTGGTGCTCGCCGCCGCGCTGCCGCGGCGTCATCTGCCGGCCCGCCTCCTCGGCGAGCGGCACCTCGCCGTCTTCGCCGCCCTCCTCTCCGCCGCCATCGTCGTCGTCTTCGAGGCGGAGTGTGAGGCGGAAGGCCCCAGACTCCGGGTCCTCGGCCAGCCCGGCATGCACGCCGGGCGCAGCTCCACGCGGCGGCCGCGCAGGCGGCGCCTCGGGCGTGGGCGACGCGGCACGCTGCTGCTCGGGCGGCTGGGCCGGCTGCAGCGGCAGCGCCGAGTCCAGCTCCTCCAGCAAGGCCAGGACATCCTGGCGCAGGCCCGCCTGCTTGCGGGCGGTGGCGTTCTGGGCGATCCTCTCCAGGCAGGGCCTGACCAGGCTCGCCGGGCTGGTCATCGCGTCCCGGGCAGGAAGTGCTTCAGCAACACGGCGTAGTCCTCCTGCTTGAGAAGGGAGAGGGAGAGGGGGAGGGATGATGGTGAGGCGACGCAGCAGTATGTCTGTGTTTCTGCGGCGGGCTGGGGAGAGGGGCATTGGGCATCCTCCTCTGGGCCCAACAGCACCCACCGGCCCCCACCCAAGACCGACACTCGCGACCGACCTGAGGGAAGCGCTTGATCCACCGGATCACCGTGATCGCAGCCTCTCCGGCATCATACAGCTCCACCAACCGATCAGCAGGCGCAGTGCGGTGGTGCTGGAATGCCTCTCTCACGTTCCTGGTGATCTTTCGCTGCAGGGGTGGAGGTGTCAAGGAGGACGCTTCCCTAATAATTCTGCGGTACAGATGCAGGGAGGGAGATGCAGACATGCTTTCGTCCCGTCTGGGGACCCAGGCGATCACTTTGTGGGCGAGTTCGTGGGGCACGGGCTCTGGACGACCATCGTAACCAGGACCTGCTGGATCGGTACTGCGGCAAGCGACTCGGCCGGGCAGACCATACGGGGAGCGAGGCAAGCCTGCTAGCAAGCATAACCTGGTTTATTATCTCCTCGTACAAACACTGATTCCCCGGCCCTTTTACACCTGGCTTCCAAAGCTGTGCACTATCCCCTTGCAAGGGGGGTGCGATGAGCGGGGCAGGTGCGACTGGGGAGGGTGAACTCCCAGGATGGACACGTTACAATATCGCTTGCATCTGTGACAAGGCGGATCACAATCCTACAACCACCAGGTTTGCGTGGAGTGTCGGCCGAGCAGGATGGCCGGTTCCGCAACAAGGAGCTCCGGCTGATGAAGCAGATGAAGTTCCCTGAGGAGTATAAGACCAAGGTGGACCTCAGCAGGGTAAACTGGGATGTGATGAAGCCCTGGATTGCCAAGCGAGTGACGGAGTTGCTGGGCATCGAAGACGATGTCCTCATCGGGTACATCTTTGGGCAGTTGGAGGGTCAGAAGACCATCGACCCTCGCAAGCTCCAAATAAACCTTACAGGCTTCCTGGAGAAGAACACCAGCCTCTTTTGCAAGGTGAGCAGAGTTGGAGAGGGAGTGGAGTGTGCTGTCTGTACTCCAGAGTAAGGGGCATCATGATGAGTGTTCCTGAATCGTTGCCTCTGCACAGCAAGTTGCCCCGCCAGTCTGCGTATGTGGCCCCTTCCCTCCCTCCACAACCCACATCCGCTGCGCCTTGACCATTCTTAGGAACTCTGGACGCTGTTGAGCAGCGCGGCGCTGTCCTCGACTGGTATTCCTCAGAAGTTCCTTGATGAGAAGGCCGAAGAGCTCCGCCTTCGTCGCGAGGAAGACGAGCGAATCCAGGTGAGCCTTGAAGGGTGGTAATACTGGTGAAGGGCTTTCGATTGTAGGGAGATAGTTGTCATATTGCGAGCTCCTCCTGGTGTCCAGCATGTACAGCGATTGTACGAGATGTGCTGCGGATCCTGGTACATATATCACCCTGTGTTAAGTTGATGCGACTCAGCTGGATGCCAACCTTCCCCTTGCAGGCAAGGCTGAGGGCCGAACAGGCCAAGCGGGATGAGGAAAACAGGCAGGCAAATGCGGCGCGGCGGGACCTGGAGGACAGCGTGCACAGGCTGCGCCGGGAGGATGATGGTGGGAGGTTCGAAGAGCGCAGGCGCGGCGATGACGACGATGGCGTCAGCAGGCAAGTCGTAGGTGTGGGATTGTGCCCTTTGGGGAGCCTGACATGCCGCATGGCGACGGCCATATACCCTCCAAACAACGGCAGGCACACCACCCCTCCCACAACAATACAGGCACAGGGAGAAGCACAGCGGCCGCGATCGCTCCCGTGATCGCACCTCCAGGCGGCACCATCGCAGCGACAGCAGGGAAGACCGCCATCGACACAAGAAAGACCGGAAATCACGGCGACACAGCCGGTCCAGGAGTCCAAGGAGGCGACGTTTGCCTGATGCGGATCGACGATCGCGGAGGGAAGGATCACCAGAGGCGGACCGGCGATCTGAAAGAGACAGATCACCTGAGGCAGATCGGCGATCTGGAAGGGACAGATCACCAGAGGCAGATCGGCGCTCCGGGAGAGATCGCTCGGCAGAGGACCTGGAGCGGCATTCGCCGCCGCCCCTGCCCGCTGCAGAGGCCGAGGATGTCCCCCACTCGCCAAGCAGGGCCAGGAGTGCATCCCCCACACCCCCCTTGCCGACTGAAAACTGAGCAGCTCTGCTTGTCATTGACACGTCTCCATAACCGACCCTTTACAGACGGTATACCTCTTCTCTACATGGGTTGCGCAGCACACAGGCCATACATGGGGTGTGCCATACGGGGTTGAGGGACTCAGGTGCATGCTAAGAAGCATCAACTCCGTTGGAACTCAGGCTAGTCGCTCCAGCTGGCAGCGCTCCACGAATCCAGCGGGCCTCTGCAGAGCCCTGACGGCCTTCCAGTAAACGGACCCGGTGCCGCCCTTGGACCCCGGCTGGGCGGAGTAGCGCATGTACCGCACCCACATGTCGGCGTCCTCCTGCCCATGTGCGTCCACGGCAGCCTGCGTGGCCATGGGCGAGGTTTATATGCGATCAGCATGGAGCCGAGTTTGGCAGCGGCTAGCGGGGAATAGCCGTGAATACGTGCGCGCTCGCTCCCACTCGAGGACTGGTTCTCCTTGTCCACAGGGGGTGGGAGGGAATGCCCCAACTTGGGCCATATGGCAACCAAGGAAAGCCCCATAATCACCCTAGCGCCCTCGCCGCCCCAACCCACCTCAAACAGCGCCAGGATGCGCGGCCGCGGCAGCTCGTCGCCGCGCCCCGCCCTGGCTGCTTCAAGCTCCATGTCGAGCACCGCATGCCAGAACTCCCCGCCGGGGGAGGGCAGGTGCCTCAGGGACGCGTAAAGCTTCCGTGCAGCCGCCGGCGACCTCACGAGCGCCACCGCCCGGACCAGCGCCGCCGCCACCGCTCCCATGCCGCCCTGTGCGATTCACAATCTGGAGTGTTAGCTAGGGTGCATCACCCACACAGCAGCGGTCCTCAAGTGCAAACGGCTTGGCCGCCCCCGTTGTTCATGCAGAGGGTGCAGCGGGAGGGGCACTCCCCCATACCCAACCACCCCACACATACCCGCTCTCCCCCCTCGTTCCTCACCTCGGTGGGCCCCCGCGGGCCCTGGGCCAGCACGACCTCGAGCTGGGTCCGCAGCACGCCTGGATTGTGCCCGGCGGCCACCAGGCACTGGACGGCCAGCAGCCAGAGGCCCTCGCTCCTCGGGCAGGCACGCACCGCCTCCAGGGCGGCGCCGATCAGCGCGTCGTCGCGGCCCGAGGGTCCCGGCGCATCGGCCTCCTCGTCATCGCCACTGCTGTCTCCATGGGACGTAGTAGGGCAACCGCTGGCCTGCTCGGCATCGCGGCTGGCAGACGCCGCCGCCGCCACCGCCACGGCCAGGCGCAGGCTGGTCTCCCAGAGCTCGGGCGCCTGCGGGAGCATGCCCGCCGCGGTCCTCGCCACCTCAGCAGCCCCCGCCAGGTTGCCGACGCGCAGGCGCAGCTGGCTCCAGGTCAGCAGCACCTGCACGGAGCCATGCCCCGCCTCGCCGGCCTGTTGGTATAGGGGGGTGGGACGAGGCGTCGTGTCTAATGGATCTGGGGAGAGGCCAAGCGAGCATGCACACGCAAGAACCCAAACCAAACCCCAAAAGCCACAGCTCTGCGCACCCTGCGACACAGCTCGCACGCCGTGGCCAGGGTCTCGTCGGCGCCAGGAGCGTCGCCCTCCAGAGCCTGCACCAGGAACTCCACCGCCTCGGAGTAGAGGCCGGGGGAGGGCGCGGCGGCCAGGCCCCGCTCAAATACCTCAAGCCCGGCGGCAATGGCGTCCCGAGCATCGCCGCTCGGTGCAGCATGCCGGGCGCGCAGCGCCCACGCCTGCGGGCTCTCTGGCAGGTCAGCCGCCAGACCAGCGTAGATCTCCTCCTGCGGGACCACGAGCAGGGCGTCGACGGCAGCAGTGGGAATCCGGGGGAGGGATTGCAGAGTGAGAGGGGGCCAACCGTGTCTCCAAGACCCACCCCTGCTCGCCACACTCCGCCAGCCCACACAGTCAAAACGCTTGGAACCCAACCACCCCAAACCCCACATTCAGCCCACCTCAATCTCGGCGCGGCCCTCGAACTCCCCCATCTCCTGCAGGATGTCGAGGAAACGGGAGCGGAAGGCCGCGTCGCGCGGCGCCTGCGCCAGCGCGGAGCGCATGACCACTCGCGCGATGCCGCCGCGCATGATCTCGGCCAGCGCCGCCTCGGCCTCGCTGTCTTTGGTAGCTGGCCCCGCCGCTGCCTCGTCGGGATGCCCTGCCCAGTCTGTTGTGGCATCTCCTGTCTTTCCCTGCTCCTCCGCCGGGCCCCCCGCCCCAGCAGGCCCGTCGATGCCCAGCAGCGCGCGGCGCGCCCTCAGGCGCGCCGCGACCAGGAGCTCCAGGCGGAAGTACTCGTGCCAGAGCGCGGCGGCGGCGCGCGCGTCGGTCTTGCAGGCGCGCAGCCCCTGCTGCATCAGCGCCCGCGCCGCCGCAGCGTCCGCGTTGCTCTCCAGCTCCCAGGCCGCGGCATGGGTCCACAGCGCGGCGCAGCGTGGGTGCAGCGCCAGCGCGCGCGCCAGCACGCGGCTGGCGCGCCGCCCGGACCGCGTGGCGTGGCAGAAGCGGAGCCAGTCGCCCCACAGGGCCAGGTCGCCGCGGAAACGGCGCGTCGCGCGCTGGTAGATGAAGTGCACGCGGCGGACGAGGCAGTGGTCGGCCAGCGTTTTCTTCCCAGACAGGCCGCGCGCGCGGCGCCGCGCCACGCGCAGCTCCTCCAGCGAGGTCTCGAAGGCGATGGCGCGGCGGTAGTCGGCCAGGCGCGCCGCGGAGCGCTTCAGCGCGTACTCGTGCTCCTGCCGCTTCTGCACCACTCGCCCCAGCTCGGCGCGGGAGAAGTAGCCTCGCTTCTCCAGGTCGTCCAGCTCGGGCACCATGCCCTCCAGCAGGTACCTTGGAGAGGGGAGTTGGGGGATGGACTTGGGCATTGGGGTACGGAGACTTTGCAGGTTGAGCTGGCGGTGCTGGGTTTGTGCCTGACATGCATGCAGTTCCCCCAAGCTGCAGGTGGTGGGAGTGATGGTGGCTCGACACTGGACGACAGGGAGCACCAGCAGCACCTGACTGTATCCGCCATGTTGAGATGCTTTTATTCACAGCGGTGTCGTCCAGGGACCGCGAGGCTGTGGTGATCAAGTGCCTGACACGGCCAGGGGGCTGCGAGCCGGGGCACTTCGCAGAAGCAGCGGGAAGCCTGCTTACCAGAAGGTCCACTCCAAATTCATATGTCAATGAAGCCACACTCTTTCACATCTCAGTGCCCAGTGCGCTCCCATCGCGCGCATGGTGGGCCATTGCCCATCTCCCCTTGCATGCGCGCGCCCACGTGGGCCGAAGCACGGTCAGCATACCACCCTCGCCTCGCACATCCTGAGCTTCACGATTGATGTGATCCGGTCCAGGGCTCAAACGGTTCCCACACACCCTCTTCTTACCGAAAAGGGGGTTGCCAACGGCTCTTGGCAGAGGTCCTGCAGGCCAGCATGTTGGCTGTCCAGCGGGAGGCCGCGAGGGGCCTCTCGTGCCTGGCCCGGCGGATGTTCGTGTCCAGCGCGGTGTCCGCCTCGGAGCTCGAGGGTGCCACAAAGACCTCTCAGCCCGCCCCAGAGGTGCAGCTGGCCGTGGAGGCCCTGCGCAAGCGCCTGGCAGAGGGTATGCAGGTGGCCCGTGGGTTTCTGGGAGTGGATGTCCGTCCGGGATACCTGCACCATGACCGTGCATGGCCCTGCGCTGCGATCCACACCACCGTCTCCCTTTGCTCTCTCGCCGCAGGTCCCGATCTGGACACCTTCGTGCAGGGGCCCGACCTCACCGGCTACTCTGTCCATGCCCCCGCACCAAAGGTGTGTTCGTAGGGGATATGGCTGATCTCCCTTCTGCCCATCCTCCATTCTCCATCATGTTGAGTGACGAGGCAAAAGGTTCTCCCATCCCTCGAGTTTACACACGTACACCATACACAGGAGCGCGCGCGGAAGCCCGACTGGCTCAAGCGCGAGGTCCCCGGTGGTGCCAAGTACACGGCCATCAAGGCCAAGCTGCGCGAGCTGAAGCTGGCCACGGTGTGCGAGGAGGCGCGCTGCCCCAACATCGGCGAGTGCTGGGGCGGGGCGGACGGGCACACGGCCACCGCCACCATCATGCTCATGGGTGACACCTGCACGCGCGGCTGCCGCTTCTGCGCGGTCAAGACCTCGCGTGCGCCGCCGCCGCTGGACCCCGACGAGCCGGCCAACACGGCGCGCGCGGTGGCGGCCTGGGGCATCGACTACGTGGTGCTGACCTCGGTGGACCGGGACGACCTGCCCGACGGCGGGTCGGCCCACATCGCCGCCACCATTGCCAACCTGAAGCGGGAGACGGACGGCCGCCTGCTGGTGGAGGCCCTGGTCCCCGACTTCTCCGGCGACCAGGCCTGCGTGGACCGCGTGGCGGCCTCCGGCCTGGACGTCTTCGCGCACAACGTGGAGACGGTGCCCCGGCTGCAGCGACTGGTGCGCGACCGCCGTGCCAACTGGGAGCAGTCGCTGCGCGTGCTGCGCCGCGCCAAGGAGCGCGGTGTTCGCGTGACCAAGACCTCAATCATGCTGGGCTGCGGCGAGGCGCCGGACGAGGTGACCGCCGCGCTGCGCCTGCTGCGCGAGGCGGGCGTGGACGTGGTCACCCTGGGTCAGTACATGCGGCCCACCAAGCGCCACATGGCGGTGGCCGAGTACGTCACCCCCCAGGCCTTCCAGGCCTACCAGGACATCGCGGAGGGCATGGGCTTCCTGTACGTCGCCGCCGGGCCCAAGGTCAGGTCCTCCTACCGCGCGGGCGAGTTCTACCTCACCAAGCACCTCCAGGACGGCCAGAAGGCCGACGCGGCGGGGCAGGCGTGAGGGGATCGGAGGCCGGCGAGGCACCTGGGTCCAGGTGGTCAGCCAGACGTGGAGGCCCACTTGGCTGGCTCTCCTACCCTCTTGCCGACTGTACACTAGGCTGTAGAATGTTGTAGGAGTGGCTCAGGAACAGAGAAAGACCGGTTAACAGAGGGGGCGCACCATGTCACCGCTTCTCCACGACCAGCACGCCCATCATGCCGAAACCCAGGGTGTAGTGCGTGGCCTGGGCGAAGCCGGCTTGCAGTGCAAGCGCCTCCTGCTTCCGGCCTACGCGTGGAAGGGGGTGGGGGTGGAGTGGGGGGCAGCGTGGGACCGGCACGAGGTCACAGCGACACTCAAAGAGCAAGCTGGAGAAACTAGACGGTCAACGTTCGCACAGTACCATCCCCATGCCGCTTGTACCCGTGGGGAAGCGCTGGATGGAGGGGCGCAGGTACTCATACTGCTCGGCAACGCCCAGGGCGCGGGCGGCCGGCACCACCACCGTCCCCAGCAGGAAGCTCTGCACGCCGTCGGCGACGGGGCTGTCCTCCACGGCATTGTTAAAGTCCAGGATGGCGGCGGCGCCCCCGGGCGCCAGCACCCGGTACAGTTCCTGGCGGGCAAGGGGGGTGGAGAGATTTGGAGAACACTTTATTCGGGTAAGGGTATGCAGACAAAAGTGCTGAGGGCTGCATTGGTCCAGGGGTCCACTCATCGCAGGCTGATCTCCTGCATCGCTCACGCTGCCGGGCCCAGGTCCGCCCGAATCTCCAGTTCCCTCCTCTCACACACACCTGGAGGGCGCGGGGGATGTCTGTCACGTTGCGAAGACCGTAGCCCATGGTGGCCGCCTGGAAGCTGGCGTCTGGGAAGGGCAAGTCCAGCGCGTCGCCCTGCACCCACTGCAGGGGCGGCACCAGGCGGTCGAAGCGGGGGCGGTCAAGCTCACGCTGCGCCGCACTGGCCAGCATGGCCCCAGAGAAGTCCAGCCCGACCACCTTGGGGTGGGATCGGGCGAGGGTTCATGGCTGGAGATCAGTGTGGTTTGGGTTGCGGCCTGCACGCCCGATGGGCCCTGGACAGCGCAGGCGCTGGAAATCTCCTCTCTCTGATGCGAGAACTGAGGCCCCACACCCACCTGACCCCTGGGCCCCACAGCCTCGCCCAGGAGGAAAGTCAGGTCCCCGCTGCCACAACACAGGTCCAGGACTCGATCCCCTGGCCTCGCGCCGCTCCACTTGACGGCCATGCGTTTCCAGACCCGGTGCAGGCCAAGGCTGAGCACATCATTCAGGCGGTCGTACATGGGGGAGATGGAGTCGAAGAGCTCCTGCCGTTCTGAAGCATCGACATGCGCCACGGAATCACGCTGAGGTTGAACTAAATGCCTTTTGAAAGAGTTGATCCGTGCAGAGCGTGCTCTCAAGCACGGCATGGCTGGATCCATGGGCCTCGACCCTGCATGGGCACATGATGAGAGCCTCGCGAGGATCGACGCCGACTCCATGCAGGCATGTCCCGGGCAAATACAATATGTATCGAGATGTGCACGGAATGGCCATTCTTGAATCCTGTCTTGTTCACTGTGCAGTGCGTGCATCCCTTGCGATCATGGAATGAGATGCCGACAAGGATTCCGCGCAGCATGCAATTCGAATATTGACATGCATGCTGGCAGACGGGTTTACGACAACAACTCACTATAAGTCGTAGCATGTAGACCCCAGATCCAAACAGCGGGCATGCTTGCCGCTGCTGATCAGCAGGAATGCCCGCGGCGTCCTGCCCTTGAGCTGGGCATGACGGAATCAGCCACTCCCTTCCCCAGTGTCCACCGACGCACCCTCCGATGCCTGCTCGGATACACTGCACTCCATCTCGTGGGCATAGCCTTATTCATAAATGGGTTTCTCCTTACCCGCGTGCACCTCCCGGACCGATCTCCACCCTCACCTGCGGGCAACAGCTCAGCACCCTTTGACCGGGCAGTCATCTTGGTGATCGATGCCTTGCGGTATGACATGGTGTTTGCGGACGGCCGATACCAGTGCGAGCCTGGAGTGCCCTGCCACCAAGGGCAGATGCCCTTCCTGAGCAGCCTGGCTCAGCATCCTGATGTAAGAGGCATCTGGGAGCAAGTGGGTGTTGGTGGTCTGCTGCAAGTGCCCAAACAGAGCTACAGGTGCGCCTAGGCACAAGATGGATCCTGACGCTGCAGCTAGAGCCTTGCTGCAGCAAGATTACTGCTACTCGCCCACGGCCCCCTCCCTCAATGCAGGCAAAGGTAGCCCGCAGCTTTCGCTTCCTGGCAGAGGCTCCCACCACCACCCTGCAGCGCCTCAAGTGCCTCATGACCGGCGGGCTGCCGTCCTTCTTTGACATCGGCAACAGCTTTTCTGCCGGGCCCTTGGACGAAGACAACCTCGTTGATCAGGCCGTCGCGGCCGGAAAGCGTGTGGTGGGTTGGCAGGGGCACTGGGATGTGCCTTTGTGGTGGCGTGTTGGGATGGCTCTGGGATGTGACAAGCTCCTGTGCATTCCAACAGCATCGGAATCAGAACACGCAGAGGCACCTCCCAGGCCGCTGCTGGTCTCTGGTCCAGTCACTGTCTGTACTCACTCGAATGAGTATTCATGTCATGGCCATGGGATGCTGCCCCTCGCTGCGTGACCTCAAGTCCATCCTCCACACCTACCGCCCCCGCCATTCCCTCTTCCCAGGCGTTTGTGGGGGACACGACGTGGACCCAGCTCTTCCCCCGCCAGTTTTCGGCCGCGCACCCCTTCCCCTGCTTCAACGTCCGGGACCTGCACTCGGTGGACGAGGGAGTGGCAGCCCAGCTGCCCGCCCTCCTGGCCGCGCCGGGGTCCTGGGACTTGCTGATCGGCCACACGCTGGGCGTGGACCATGCAGGCCATGCCCACGGCGTCGCCTCGGCCCAGATGCTGAGCAAGCTGGCGCAGACGGATGCCCTGGTGCAGGGTTGGGTGGATGCGATGCTGGAGGTGGCGGGGCCCGGCCAGGCCTATGAGAGGACGCTGCTCCTCGTGCTGGGGGACCATGGTGAGCGTGAGAGACTGGTGTGGCACGGAGATGATGGGAGGGGCTGGCATGGGTGGGATCAGGCGTGGCGACCAGCGACTCAAGACCCACGCTCCTTGGCTTTCCAAGGGAATCCCGGACTGTGGCTTGCTTTTGCCATGAGGGATCCTGTTCATGGAGCCCACACAAGCTCACCTTGTCCATCCCCGGCCACCTCGAATAACCCAGGCCAGACCCTCACGGGAGAGCACGGGGGCGGAAGCGACCCAGAGGTGGACTCCGCCCTGGTCGCTGTCAGCCTGGGAGCTCTGGCCAGGAGCCCGCCCGCCCAGACAGCAGCACAAGCATCAGCAGGCTTCCCAATACCAGTCACAGGCGTGATGGTGCAGGCCGATTTTGCGGCCACGCTGGCGCCGCTGCTGGGCCTGCCCACTCCCTACTGCAACCTTGGCAGGGTCCATCGCGACCTCTTCCAACTCGGGGCTTCCAACGGCAAGGATCTGGAAATTGCTGCATGGGCAAATGTGGAGCAGGTGGTGAGGTACCTGGAGGCGTATGCACTCGCAGCGTACTTTCCCAAGCAGGTGCTTGGCCGGGTGCTGCAGGAGCATGCTGATCTTCTCGGTGATCGCGAGACCAGCAAGAAGGGAAGCGAGGCTGAGGCCGGCAGGTGAGACTGAGGGGGCAGCCGGTTTTTCAGGCAGTTCCATGACTGCACACCCAGACAAGGCCAACAGAGAGTGGAGTGCAATCCCACGCCCGTCACTGTGCAAGTACTCACCAATGTTGCAACCTCCACCCCCAAAACACTCCCTCTACCAATAATCCCCGCGTCAGGGCGCTGGACTTCCTGGAGCTCGCCTCGCGGCTTGCCCGACCCCAGTGGACCCAATTTGGCACGACATCCATGGTCCTGGGTCTAGTCGCGGTGGCCCTCGCCCTGGCTGCCCAGGCTTTGGGAGCTTATGTGGCCCTTGCCCCTCGGGGTATCGAGAAAAAGCCAAAGGCACCTGTTTCCACACTCACAAGTGTCCCAAGGCTGCTGAGCCTCGGCACAGCCATCTGTGCTGCAGTGCCTGTGCTGGGCATCTTCTCCTTCTTCTACCTGCTGAATGAAGGTGGGTGGCTGGGGCGAGCGGCAAAGACTCGTGCTGTCTGCGGGGGTGTCTCCCCAGATTCATCCTGGGAGCACGAATGATATGCAAGGTCTAGGTGCCAGAGATACGACTCACATGCTACCCTCTCGGCACACACAAACTTCACCCCTACTTCAACGCCAGGCACTTGGACCGCCGGCGTCGCAGCAGCTGCCTGGGTACTCCTGACCCTCGAGTCGCTGACAACTTTGAAACCTCGGACCCAGACACTCCTGGCGATACTCATGCTGGGCGGGGCGGGGCTGCTCGCGCTCCTCCTGTCTGCACGCCTGGGGCTGACTCAGCACTCCGGCTGGGGGTTCTGGCAGAAGCTGACAGTGCACGACAAGGAGCCTGCTGCTCACCTCGGCGCCAACGTGAGCTGGGGAGCCCAGCTGCTTGCCTCGGGCACAGATCATATAACCCGATTAGCCGGCAAGCCCTCCAGCTGGGCAGGCTGCCTGCTCGTGGCTGGCTTCCCTGCGGCGCTGCTGGGAATGGCCGTGTGCGCACTCAGCATGCACGTGCCTGGAGTTGACCCTGCCGCGGCAAATATCCTGGCATCCGCGCGCCTCGCCAGGTGGGTCAGGGCAGTTGCTCTGTCCAGAGTGGGAGGGTGGGCCTTTCTCTGCAACCAGTGTCAATGGTGGTCTCGGCATCGTATCATGCAAAGGCCCGGGGCACACATCCTGCCGTCACCCTCCATCCCTTTGACCCTCACCTTCCAGACTGGCAGTGGCAGCGTCCTTTGCAGCTGCAGCGGCACGGCATGTGGTGCAGGGGGCTGTGGATGCCGGGGTCGCAGCCTCAGACGCCCCTCTGTCCGCCCTCCTGGCCTGGGCTCCAGGCCGTCTCTTCCAGACCGACGGGGGCTACGTACAGCCAGCCACCCGCCTGTTTGCGCGAGTGTCCCTTTCCACCTCGGGCCTGGCCCTCCTCAGCCTGGCACTCAATCGCCGTGTGCTCAGGAGCCACCCCGGCCTCCTGCCTGCGGGCCTTGCAGCCCTGGTGGCCCTGCTTTCCCCGCCCAGCACCAGTCTCGCCATGCTGTGCATGCTGGGTTGGGGCTGGGTGGCTGCGTACCTGCCCGCCGTCCGTCGGCGCTCGTGCCTGGCGCAGCTGCAGCTTGTTCTGGCAGCCATGCACGCCTTCTATGCCTCGGGGCACCTGTGCGAGTTTGCGGGAGTGCACTGGACGGCAGGTTGGGAGGGGGGGAGGGGGGGGGGGGACGAACGCGTGAGGTTCCATGTGCGATCTGAAGGGCACAGAATGACATTAGAGTGTACCCATGACGCTCCACGTTCAACCCTGCTCACCTCCATCCAACAGGGTTTGTGACGGATGATGATTTCCATCTGTACCGCTCGGGTGTGCTCGTGGCACTGGAGACCTTTGGGCCCATGCTCCTCGTTACCACCTTGGCAGGCGTTCCCTGGGGCAGCACGGCCTCCCAAGCAAGGCTAGCTGGGGCAGCGGAGAAGACCCAGGAGTCTTCTAGGCCGGTTCCATCCCCGCAACATGCTCCTGAAGGTGCAATAGCGATGATGGGAACGCTCCGCTGCGCTGCGGCGCTGGCGGCCATGCTCAGCGCAGCCGTCCAGCGTCGCCACCTCTACGCCTGGTCCCTCTTTGCCCCGCGCTTTGCGTTTGAAGCCTGCTTCCTGGTCGTCACAGACATTACTGTGCTGCTGATGAATGTCCTTTTGGTGTGAACCGCCATTGTGCAAATTCTACCTAAGGAAGGCAATGCGAATCTGACCAGAGGGCGCGCGACTCCCATCCCGTCTGCCGGAACGAGGAGCATTAGGAAGAGGACGGCCTGCACGCTCCGTTGTGCCTAAGCTATACACCCAAGATACTGAGTGACATGCTTGGGTCATAAAGGTAGCGTCATCGGGGTGTAACGTTGTCTTCAAGCCGTAGGTGGGGTGTAAGGTCTCTGCCGCGTCGAGCTCGTGCTCGGCCCCTATGACCGCCGAGTTCCCTCCCCTGGCAAATGTGCCGAGTCTGATCTCGCGGTACACATCAAGCCAGAAGGAGAGGGACCTCCTAGAGGAGTATGCAGGTGAGGTAGAGGTTGTACATGCTGGGAAGGGAACCATGTGGAACCCCAGTGTTGGGGCTCGTGAACCTTGCACCTTCACACCATCACCACCACCCGTCCTTCCTCGATGCCAGACCTGTATGCCATCCTGAAGTCGACGGAGAAGCTAGAGCGGGCGTATGTGCGGGACGCCATCAGCGCCAGGGACTATGAGCCCGCCTGCCAGCGCCTCATCGCCCATTACCGCACCCTGTGGAGCACGGTGTCAGAGAGCGTGCCCAGCCTGCAGTCCTTCATGGCCACCTACGGCATGCAGTGCCCCATGGCGGCGCGGCGCCTGGCCCAGTCGGGCATGCCCGCCACCGTGGAGCATGGCCGGGCCACGAGCAGCGGGGAGGCAGGGTACACCGCCGCCGTGGCGGATGCCGTGGGGCAGTTCATCACCACCATGGACGCCCTCAAGCTGAACATGGCGGCTGTGGACCAGGTGTTTCCCCTGCTCTCAGATTTGACCCAGTCCCTGAACAAGGTGGGCAAGGGGATGGGGGGCCAGTGTGGCCATCTATGCCTCTGGGGCGGAGAGGAGTTTGCACACCGGAAGTCATCGGTCTCACTGCTCAGGCACGGCAAGGAGCGCTCCATACCCTTGGGGGTGCAGACGTGGAGGCCTGTGGCCGGATTTCGAAAACAGTGCTGCTCCTTCACCAATCAAGGCTGCTCTTGTGGTCAAGCTCTTTCCCCCTCGTGCAACCGTGAAGGGTGAAGGTCATGCTGTGGATCGCCCTCCCCACTCGTGATCCTTTGCCAACGTGACGAAACGCCAGCATCCCCTTCCTTCTTCGTGCCTCCAGGTCCCCACACTGCCACTAGACCTGCCCGGCCGCCTGAAGCTCAAGGCCTGGGTGAGCAAGCTGCATGGCCTGCCCGCCAGTTACGAGCTGGACGAGGGCGAGGCGCGGCAGCTCCTCTTCGAGCTGGAGGGGGCATACAACGAGTTCATGGCCCACCTGCCCCGATGAGGGAGGCGGGCAGCCCATGAGTGACTAAATCCTGGCGGATTGCGACCGCTGGACGATCCAGATTGGTGCATGCGCCAAAGCGCCCAGCAGGGCTGTATGATGTTCACTGCCCCCGTCGACCCAGCAACAGCTCAAACGGCCTCAGCCTGCTCACATTAAGCACAGGTGCTGCTCAGTGTTGATGCGCCAGTCGAACCTCAGGCCATGACGTGCATGCTGCAGTGCTGGATGACGCTCCCTGTAGGGTCGCATGCAGTCGCGATCTGCAAGTTTTGCAGCCTGATCCTTGGCATGGGACAGCATTTGTACAGAGCACGACAATTTGACAAGGTTACAGGCCCAGTCTGTGATTGTCAGAGTTCTGACCTTGTCGTTAATCATGCACAGCTCAGCATCTCCCTCACTACAAAGCTATGCCCGGAGCTGCTGGGTATCTGAAAAGCACTTTTACAAACCCACAACTGTTGCATTGAGCCGCCAGCTCCATGTATGCTGATAGCATCACCAACTTGAACTGCTTATCCCTCGCACACCTGCTGCAAATTCTAGTCACAGATGAGTGCACCCTCGTTGTCCATCCTCAAATTGGCAATGTAAACGATATGAATTGCACACGATTGCTTAATTATCATACTCATACAGCATGGCTTGGTGGTGTATAGTAAGAGGACCTCCTGAGAGGAGGTTTAATCAAGGGTGTTCACCTCCTACTCCCGACCTGCAGGGCGCGGAAACGACCGGGTTGACGATTGTCAGGGCATCCACAGGAGGGGCATACCTCACACCCCAGGCCTGCTGCGTTCGAATTCATAATTCAGGCGCATGCACCCAGTGTCGAGGATCGACGCGGATCGCCACGGGGCCTCGTGCAGAGCACCATGAGCGCCCTGTCGTCCACCCTGTCCACCCTGGCCAAGCGCTCCCTGCCCGTGACCAGCGAGTTCAATGAGCTGGTCCGGGGCATTGGTGAGAGCAAGAGCAAGGGTGAGGAGGATGCCATCGTGCAGCGCATGGTGGAGCTGTGCCGGTCCAAGATCAAGAGCGGGCGCCGGGACCTCCGGGCCTCCAAGGACTTCCTCATTTACCTCATCTACATCGACATGCTGGGCCACGACACCCGGTGGGGCCATGCCACCGTCATCCAGCTTTGCAGCGAGAAGCACCTGGTCGTGAAGAAGGTGGGTGGGGGTGGTCTGGCTGGCTGGCACCCTGCTGTCGCTCTGTGGATCGGCGTTCATCCTGTTCTGTTGTGGGGCAGTGTAGATCCCTGCAACCTTTCCCCCTCATAGCTCTGACGTCCCCGCGCCCACCTCCCCCCCCCCAAACCAACACACCAATAGGCCGCCTACCTGGCGGCGTCCCTGCTCCTCCCCCCCGGCTCAGAGCTGGGCCTGATGCTGACGGCCACCATCCTGGCCGACCTCGCCTCCGACAACTGGCTGGTGGTGGCCACCGCGCTGCAGGCCGCCTGCCGCGGCGCCACGCCGGAGCTGGTCACAGCCTTCCTGCCCTCCGTCACCGCTCTGCTCGCCCACCCGGCCCCCGGCGTGGCGCGCAAGGCGCTGCTGGCCCTGCACCGCTTCCTCCAGCTGGACCCCGGCGCGGGGGCCGACTTGGAGCGCACGCTGGTGGAGCGCCTGGGACACCGCGAGCCGGCGCTGATGGCCGCCGCGCTGGCAGGCCTGGGCCAGCTCATCCGCGCCGAACCGGGGCAGTACGGCGCGCTGGCGCCCTACCTCACCGCCATCCTCAAGCAGGCTTACGAGGGGAAGCTGGGCCGCGCGTTCGAGCTGCACCGCGCCCCTGCGCCCTTCTTGCAGGTGCGGTGGGTTGTATATTGTTTTGGGGGGGAGGGGACGGCGGGGGGGAGGGGAAGCGAGGCACTCGTGCCTCGAATGCTGACTGCTATTTGATTGCGTGCGGGTCGTGAGGAGGGGTTCATCTGGGGCACGTGGCTGGAGATTTTGGATGCCGAGGCGCGCTCCCTGTGCACCTGCTCGGAAGCCAGGCGCGCCTGTGCAAGGCGCGGCGACGACCGTGCGCTCCCGCGACCGCCCACCGACACCCCGCCCGGCGCAGATGGAGCTGCTGCGCCTGCTTCGCGCGCTGGGCGAGGCCTCGCCCTCCGTCTCCGGCGACGTGCGCGCGGTGGTGGGCGAGGCGCAGCGCCGCGCCGAGGCGCTGGCCTCGCCGCTGGGCCGCGCGGTGGCGCTGGAGTGCCTGCGCACGCACGCGGCGCTGGCGGCCCCCGGCCCCGATGCGGCGGCCGCCGCCGACGCTGCGGCCGCGCTGCTGGCCTCGCCCGAGCCCAACGCGCGGTTCGCGGGCGTGGACGCGCTGGCGCGCCTCGTGCGCGTGGCGCCCGACCGCGTCGCCGCGGCGCAGCTGGGCGTGGTGGACTGCCTGCGCGGCGGGGACGAGACCCTGGTGCACGCCACGCTGGGCCTCCTCTTTGCCATGGCCGACGCGGGGAACGTGGGCGTGGTGGCGCGGGAGGTGCTGGCCCACCTGCGCGGCGGGCGGGCGGGGGCGGGGGCCAACGCCGCGCGCGCGGGCGTGGCGGCCCAGCTCCTGGCCCTGGCCGAGCGCGCCGCGCCGGGGCACGCCTGGTACGTGCGCACCGCGGCGCAGACGCTGGAGGCCGCGGGCGCCGACGCGCCGCCCGGCGCGGGCGACGCGCTGGCGGCGGTGGTGGCCGAGATGGGCGCGGAGGGCGAGGAGGAGCTGGGGGAGGCCGTGGACGAGCTGCTCAAGCGCCTGGATGGGCCGATCAGTCGCGGGGACGCGGGGGCGGGGGGCGGGGATGGACCTGGCGACGGCGACCAAGTGAGCGACGCCGACCCCACGCCCGTCTCCGGAGGCCCGCCGGTCACCGCCCCGCCGCAGCTCTTGGCGGCGGCGGTGTGGGTCGCGGGCGAGTACGGCGCAGCGTCCAGCCGGGGCCTGGATGGCGCGCTGGACGCGCTGTGCGCGCTGCGCGAGACGCACGCACCCGGCCCGCGCGTGCTCGCCGCGGCCGCCGGCGCGCTGGGCAAGCT